TCACAAATCAATCAAACCTACGAATTAATATTTATTTTTTATTTAAAATAAATATTTAAATTATCCATTAAAGAGATAAGAAGAAGAAAAAGATTTCTTTTTCCATTTTATCAAAGAAATTTTTATTTGAGAAATTGGGTAAAATATTAGAATTAAGTTGTAATACTATTTTTAGTCGACTAAAAACCATTTATTTAAGCAAAAAGAAGGTCGAGAGCAAACATTGATTTTTGTTCTATTTTCATTTAAACGAACATCTCCACTTCAGCACAAATATTAAAAATCATGCAGTAGATTCAATTATTTTTGCAAAAATTTTATCCGGAATTCAAGTGAATCTAATTCTTGTATTAGACGAAAATGAGAAAATTAAACAACAGTACAACTGATACACTTGTCATTAGTTTTCCGATTAATAGTATACTAATGAAAAGAAACTCATTTTTGAGAGAAAGATTGTTGAAAATTTGAGTATAAATCTAAGTCCCATATTGAATAAAAATGAGAAAGTTAAGTGATATATAAAATAAAAACCTATAAACATATTACCTTAGTTAAAGTTTTGGATTGCAAATAATGTCTTAATCTTTTATATAAACTTGTTCAAACTTAATTGATGTTGAATATCAAAGTATGCCCTTCAGAAAAAACAAATAAGAAGCTTAGTCAAAAAATCATTTGGACAATACAATTTTTAAACAATTTAAAATTATCAATATAATACATAAATTACTAAAACATAATTTTTTCACTCATTTCAATTTTATCTCAATAATTCAAACTGATAATATATAATTCAATTCTCATTAAGTGATTACAAAAAATTTATGAAATTACTAACAAATTTTACCTACAAACTAAATTTATTTAGAAATTTAAATTATTAATAAATTTTAAAACTTTACTTATCAACAAATTTATTATTGACAAAATATCCATCGATAAATTTATCAAAAACTACATATAACTTAGATTTTTTTTACAAACAAATCCATCGGAAAAGAAATTTCTGTCACATTCAATTTCATCATATACCACTACTAAGGAAAGCTTCCTCCATCGTCATGCAATCTTGCATTTAGAGGCTTCACCCAAGAGTGTCTTCCATCCCATATCATCTTTTCACTCAAACTTGTCAGCTTTTCATAGCCAAATATGGTGTATTTACATTCAATGAATATTGTTTCGGTAGGGATTTTTAGGACCGAGAGACTAACCTTTTCTGACGTGGCTCTACTCTCCTTCTCGACCGCTTGTCTTCAATATGATAACTAGCTCTGATCGGCTATCAGCTAGCTCCGATCGGCTGTATTCCTGGCCACTCGGTTATCACCTTGGACCGCTCGGTTGCCTTCAGTCTGGATCAAAGGAGGAGGTATCTGCAAAAGGCGCTCTGACGCTCAAGTTAGGCATGTGTTGGAAGAGCTTCTGCTCACAAGTGAATTATTATCATTGTTTGGATATAATATAATGAGAGTTCTACGTAAGTATAATGTAAGTGGAACGTCCTTGGCTTTTAGCCCCGACCTTAAATTTATAAGTGTCTCATAGACGAAATAATAACAAACTTACCTGGAGATTCGGTTAGTTATTCATCAACAGCTTTATCAATATCTCTAATCAGATATCTTTCGTTATTTTAACCGTCTGCTGGACTTTTGGCCCAATAATAAAATAAGCGCTGACCCAATTGTGGCCCAGCATTAATAGAACCGCTTGCCCTGGTTGGCCATAGTGGTGACCGAACGGTGGTGAGTGGATGACCGTTCGGTCTCTACTAGGTACAATACATATGCTTTATCTTGCCCTGGTTGACGAGAGGGTTTTACCTCTCGGCCGAGAGGGATTTACCTCTCGGTCTTTATCATCAGCTTTTTGGCTGATGAGAGGGATTTACCTCTCGGTCTTTGTCATCAGCTTTCTGGCTGACGAGAGGGGTCTACCTCTCGGGCGAGAGGGATTTACCTCTTGGTCTTTGACATCAGAGTCTTTTGGTGGATGAGAGGGATTTACCTCTCGGTCTTCAACATCATCGAGAGGGATTTACCTCTCGGTCTTCAACATCATCGAGAGGGATTTACCTCTCGGTCTTCAACATCATCGAGAGAGATTTACCTCTCGACCGAGAGGGATTTACCTCTCGGTCTTTGACATCAGAGCCTTTTGGTGGACGAGAGGGATTTACCTCTCGGTCTTCAACATCATCTTTCTGGTTGACGAGAGGGATTTACCTCTCGGTTTTTGACATCAGAGCTACCTGGGGGACTTCCTTGTGCACGGGCTTTACCGTTCGACTTTGACCTAGGAGTTCCTGGAGAACACCCTTGTGAGAGGGCTTTACCTCTCGGCTCTGTGACTTTGACCTAGGAGTTCTTCCTAGGGAACGACACCGTTCGGCTTTGCACTAGGAGTTCCTGGAAAACTTCCTAGTGAGAGGGCTTTACCTCTCGGCGTTGTGACTTTGACCTAGGAGTTCTTCCTAGGGAACAGGCTTTACCGTTCGACTTTGCACTAGGAGTTCCTTGAGAACTTCCTAGTGAGAGGGCTTTACCTCTTAGCATTGTGATTTGCAGGATCCTATCACCTGCAGAAATATAACAACTCGAATTTTACATGGTGAGAAAAAGAGTAGCCAAACAAACAATGCATTAATGTCAAAATAGGTTGTTATAAGGTCGATCGGCCAAGCAAATAAGATCGTTCGGTCTTTTGTTGAATGTTTGACGGTCAACGACGAGGAATCCGTATTAAGATGTCTTGAATAAGCTATGGGTGCTTTATGCTTTGTGACCGAACGGGAGAGAGAGAGACAAAGACCAAGGTTTGCTCGAGCTATACCTTGAGGTCATGGAAGGCCGAGCGGTTTGAAGCCGAATGACTAAATACCTGATGGCCGAATGGCCGAATACCTGTGAGGCCGAATGGCCGAGCACCTGGAAGGCTGAATGGCCGAATACTTGTAAGGCCGAATGGTCGAATACCTGCAAGGCCGAATACTTGTAAGGCCGAATACTTGTAAGTTAAATTTTAAAATTAATTCACATAGCCCACATGCATATCACAATTTAATTAAATTTTAAGTATAAATTAAATTAAATTTCCTTTTTAATTAATTTACTCAATTAGAATATTAATTTAAGAACATAATCCTTGCACCTTTTCCAAACAAAAGGAAAAAAAAGGTGATGGTAATTTTCTTTATGAAATGTAAAAGAATCGAATATTGGTAAAATGACATATATATTGTCCCAAAGCATTCAACTTGTGGGAAAGTGAAAGCAAAAGAGTATAAAGGGGTGGTTTCAAGTGTAGCTAGAAAGGAATAATAATGAATGTAATATATGTGGGTGCCAATCATGGTGTTTGCTTATTGGTATTATTACATAATGGATGTCATGTCTTAATTGTTGATAAGTCTCTTCCACTAGAGTTCACATCTTAGAAGGAAGCCAAACAATAATGGAAGATGAATAGTGGGTGGAATTCCAAATAGTTTTCCCATTAAGAAAGTGATTGCGAATGAAAATTTTGGTTAAACGTAGAGGGACATCACCTTTTTTAGCCAATTGTGACTTTTCATTTCACTATTGTATGACTTTTAATTTTACCATAAGAGAATTTTTGTTATAACTTTTCATTTTCATTAATCATTTTAGTGATTATTCTTTTGATGCAGAGCACTTTTTGTCATTAATAAGGAGAGTTGTATAACTTTCCTGTAATTATTTAATACTTAATAAACAAAATTAATATTTTTATTTTTGTTTATTTCTTTTTAAATTATTTATATTTTAAAATAAAAACATACTTATATTAGTGTTACGTAAATGTAGAATAAAAAATGGATACATATATCATTCACTCCAAACCTATTTGGTTGTTATAAAAGTGACACTTTGTTTCCTCGTACATGTTTTTGGAAAACAATCATCTTCAAAATATAGTCTAATACTATGAACACGTCTAAAGGAGGATTCAAACAATATATAAAAGCATAGTAAATTATCCTTTCAGTATATTATGTAAAAATATTTGTCATTTTTTTAAAAGTATGAAGAATTAAAAAAAAAATATTTCATTGACAGGTTGGTCCATCAGACCCAGTTTGTTTTGTCACTCCTATATATAAATATATAAGCTTAAAATCTTTAATTATAAAATTAAAAAAATAATTTCTATTTTAAAAATATATTTAATTGTTAGATTAAATAAATATTAATTATGATAGTTCTTTTATAAATACAAGTTACCAAAATATATTAAAAAAATAAGGGTAAATATGTTTTTAGTCCCTCAACTATCAAACGTTTTTGGGTTTAGTCCCTCTTTCAAAGTTTGTTTTATTTTCATCCATCTCCTTAATGAAACTATAATATTTAGTCCTCCAAAAACAACGACGTTAAATTTTGTCTGAGGTGGCTAACGGTATACCACGTTTCATACCACGTTAGATATTGAAAATTTGCACAATTTCCTACTTTTGAATGGAAACTCAGAATAGAGGTTGACCTTTTGACTTGGCTTTTTTGATATGGAGAAAGTATATGGTTGATGAAAGGGGAAAAGGTTGAAATAAAAAAAATGCTACAAAGGGGGCACACATGATTCATCCCGGGGGACACTCTCCCCTTTATCATGACCAGAACCACCGTTCTCCCAACTGACATTCTCCTTCACCATTCATGGCGTAAAACAATCTTGCTCCATCATAACTCTCATCTTTCCCCTCCATCATCCTGTTCATTACTTGAAAAATAGAAAAAACAGGAAAGGAACCATTTCACCATAATCATCTTCGTCTTCCCTCACATCCCAACATCAATGCCTCTTTGACCTGCACAAAAAAAATTAAATAAAATTTCCCTAATCTAATTCTAAATTCCTTTTCACTAAAAATAGATTTAAGAGAAGAAGGGAAATCGTGGCGCCAACACCTACTCCATTTGCAAGCTCGGTGATGGCCACGGGTGGCAATTAGGGGTGTCAACGGCGGCAACATGATGGTGGTGGAGAGAACTCAACGGAGATCGAGCCATGGTGGTGATGTGATTTTGGAGTTGAAGCTGCGGCGGTCAATGCAGATTGCAGAAGGAGACACTAAGGTTGGCGACACCCCGACGACTCCATACGCCACCTGCAGTGAACCTGGTTGGAGTGGGCCGCGCCTCTATCATTCCTGATGAGCGTTGTGGAGATTGAAAAAGGAAGGAAGAAACCTTAACACTTGGAAGAAAAGGAAGGGGAACTCTAGTGGCCTCCCCGGCGACAAAAGCATCGGGGAGGTGCGGTGGCGTTCACGTGACCAGCGAAGGAAAAGATGTTGCAGACACCAATGTAGGAGTGCTCTGCGCAAAGCAAAGTAAAGGGGTGTGTCATCACCAACGAAGCTCGCGGCGGTTTCAGGTGTCGCGATCGGCAGCCCATGGTGGCTGTGAATGTGTGACCTAGAGTCAGAAGTGTGTTGTGTTGGCGTCGAGGAAAATAGGTGGAAGGGACGAGGAGAAACTCTCGTAGTTTGCTTATTTGAACAAAAGTAGAAAACTTTGATTTACATATTTTCAATATCTGGCATGAAATGTGGCACACCGTTAGCCACTTCAGACAAAATTTAATGTCGTTACTTTTGGAGGACTAAATATTACAGTTTCATTAAGGAGAGAGATGAAAATTAAGCAAACTTTGAAAGAGAGACTAAACCCAAAAACACTTGATAGTTGAGGGACTAAAAAAAAATTAAACCAAAAAAATATGAAACATAATTAAATTTGTAACGAACCAAAAGTATTAATTTTTTGTTTTTAATTTGATCCTTGTTTGATTAATATAAATATGATGTATGTTCAATCCTCCGATAAGTGTATATCTTATTTTAAAAAAGAAATATAAATATTACATTAATAAGAGAGTCTTTGATATACATATATGGTAATCTCGATACTCATATTTGAAGTTTTCCATTTCCTCTTCACTATCATCTATAAGATCTTTTACAAAGACATCATTGATCCTCTCTACTCATGTATATAATTTGAACAGATATAGGATCATTACATATAAACACCAAAACACCACAAAAGAAATGAAGGGTAAGTTTATTTATATCATAAAATTTTTATATAGATTTAAATAATTTTTATAACTAATTAGGATAATTGAGTTTCATCCATTAATATACCACATTGTACCAATCATGCACTTGTCATGAATTTTTCTTTGGATTAAATTTAACATCAACAACAACATTTCCCTTATACAAAGTTCATTGTTCTTTTATCACAAACCACCATGACAGGATTAATTATTTTTCGTCCTTTAACTCACGATATTATTTAATACCAATTCCGTGGACTAGGAAACCCTTCGACTCTCACTACTTAAACCTCATTCTTTACATGAGTATAAGAATTTAGTAAAATCAAGATGACTTCACTCTCTGGATTCAAACTTAATGCATCCATACCTTATTGAATATGACATTTCTCCTTAAGAATAACCATATTAATAAAATTGTCACAATTCTAATATATTTATATCACATGATCACATATGTTCTTGGCATTCAAGCCTAAATTCTATTCATTCTCATGCATACCTTCATCCCAAGAATTTTCATACCATCCATTCTCATTAAGTCATAAAAAGTCATCATAGAAAATTTCAATTCATATCAATCAAGTTGTAATCAAATATTAATTATTCAACTCATCATTTAACATTAGACACAAATAAACCTATAATAATCTAGTTTTAAAAATGTATACATATGGTGTTGATGTCCTTCGACTCTCATCACCTAAATCTCCTTCTCTATATGAGTACGAGAATTTAGTAGAATCAAGACGACTTCATGCCGAAATTTCTACACAAATGTATACATTACACTATACAATATGAATATTTCTATTTAGAAATATTCATATTCATCCAACATATATAAAAAATTATAGGTATTTCTTAGTCACACAACACACTTCAATTTCAAAGCAACTAATTTATATCTTATTTTCCAAAAATAAAAAGTTTTATTTGTGTATTACACCTCCTAACATCTGTCTACTAGTCTTTACTTTGAGTTACCACTTTCACCTAAGAGTTTTAGAACTTCTAAATTATGTCCTTCTGATTCTTCAAATTAAGATTAAAGTTTTTCTTTCGAATTAAAACTATTATCACCATGAACATAGTAGCAATGTTGTTACGTTCTAGGATAAATGAAAAATTCTTCATTATTTTTAAAATTAAAACAAAAGTTCATTATTTTTAAAATTAGAAGGAAAATTCTTTATTTTAAAAAAAAATAGAACAAAAATTCATCATTATTTTTAAAGTTAGAAGAAAATCTCTTTATTTTTTAAAATTAGAAGGAAAGTTCTTCATTAATTTTAAAACTATAAGAAAAATTCTTCATTATTTTTAAAATTAGAAGGAAAATTTTATATTATTTTTAAAATTGAAAGAAAAATTCTTCATTACATGTAGAAAAAGTAAAACACAAATCTAATAATTTTATTCCAATAATAAATATTTAATAAAAATGTGAATCTTAATAAAAATTAAATTTGGTCTCAATTTAGAGAGGGACAAAATTAAGACTAAATTGAAAAAAATTAACAAAATTTGAAACTAAATTGAACAAAATTAACAAAAATTAAGACGAAATTGAATACAAGATACTGACACGTTGCATTGATACTCATTTGACACGTTGCATTGATACTCATTTGACATGTCACATTGACTTGACATGTAGCACTAACATTGTCAAATGACATAATGTTGAGTTGACACTTGGACAACTTTTTAAAAATTAAGAAACATATTTTAAAATATTAATCAAAATTTTAATAATTAAAAAAAATTATAAATTGACACGTGGTACACATTATTCATCTTTGATTAACCATTTAAATAGTGTTACCTAAAATGACAAAATTAAACAAAAATTATCAAAATAGAAATCACATTAAAGATAAAAAAATAAGTTTCACTTTGAACAAAATAGATGAAAATAAATAAAAATAATATTTAATCATATTTTTCTGTATTATAATATTTTAACATTTCTAATATTTATTTTTTCAAATTATATTTTTTAAAATTAGGTTATTTTAATGCAATAAAAAATATAAATAGGTAGGATTTTTATAATTGATATAAAATGTGATTTTACACACAAATATAATTGGCATAAACAACTTTCCGACACACTTATAAAACTACCACTGATGAGTAAAAGTAAAAATGTTTAACAAGACAATTTTTTTTTCTTATTATTTCTTAAAAAGTAAAAATCTAAAACATTTTGTCTATTTTATATAAAATATAGTTGATTAATGGTCCCTTCTGTCTATTTCCAAACATAATTATTATCATATGTTTGCTATGAATGTTTGTTTGTATTTTAAATTCTAAGAACTCACGAAATATTATTGTGTTATAAAGTTGTCATATTATTTAATTTTTTCTATTACTGTTATTATAAAATATAGTTTGACAGTAAGTACTAATTGAAATTTAATGAATATTTTGAATAGTGGAAGAATTTATGAAAATGCAGAAAATAAAACAGTTTTTTTATTAATTCTTTCTTTACATCTAAAATAAATAAAATGACACTTTTGTGTAATCAAAACAGACAGTTTCTACTAAAATAAATAAAACCATTGGGTACTTAATCATTGTTATACATATATGTCACGAAAACTGGGGTTTTCTTTCTTATTGGTTGCATTCTTTGATACTGTATATGAACTAGACCCTTGACCTACAAGCAATACAGCGCGAGTGACTCTTGCACTTGATGGAAAACATGAATGATTATTTGGACAAAAATCAACACAAACATGAAAAACTAATAACACAATCTAAATCACCCAATAATTCTTTAAAAACTAAGTTATAAACCTGTAATGCATTTTGTACCGTCCGGTCCTCCCATCCATGAACCGAGTGACCCTCCAAGGTCGGTCATTCATGAACCGAACGTCCACCCAGGTGAGCAATCAGGACCGAGCGTCCGGTGTGACCAGACAGTAGAATCAGATGGTCGCCTACCCAGGTTGACATCCCTGGCCGACCATCCTTCCCAACTGACCCGCACTTGGTCGACTACACAGTTAAACGCTAATGACTCATTAAAGCCCTTAACGAAGATTAAGGTATGATTGGGCCGTTATCAGGCCCACGAAAGGTAAAAGCTCATTACAATCAGTATAAATAAAGGTTCCAGGTATGAGTTCTGGACAGATTGCTTACAATGCAATATACATATGCATTACAGACCACTTGGTCATGTTACTGACTTAAGCGTCGGGGTGCCTTTGACAGATACACGATCAGGACTTGAAGACGAGAGCCCGTTCGGCCCTTCCCAGCGCGTCCAGCCCTCAGCCAAGAGCTTGTGAGAAGACGTCCGTCACCAAGCGTCCGTCCGATCCGTTGCATGCGATATCATCCATCCGCCAGTCTTCATCCTTTGTGAGTGTTTTAATAGGGTCCTACCAGATCCGGTCGAAACACATTTAATACTTATACTTATTCTATACAAAGAAAGATATAACTTAGAATCACGCAGAATTAGTAATTCTTCCTATTGCACAGTATAGTAGATTAATTAGGAAGAATAAGTATAAAATTTAAAAGGTTAACAGTTGTATACAATAAAGAAGACTCATGAGTCACTTACGAGAGTTTATAGCCATTGTTGATTGCTCCTGTGCAACGATTTTGAAAGCCGCAGGCAAAGTTCACTATCCTCCACCATAAATAATCTTTGCTCGAACCGCCATGAACACATTCATCAACTCCTCAAAAAATTCTAAGCTTCTCACCTTGATCTTCTGTGAGAACATGATTTCTCTAAGGCTTAGCCTTCTTTTAACACTCATCTTCAGTCTGATAATTAAGCAGACATATTCCAACAAAGATAGGAAGGCAAATATATACACGCATTCTTTCGTTATATACTTTTTCACTTGTGCTTTTTAGCTTTTCAATTACTATATATGGCTACCAAAACGACTATGGCGCTCAAAAGTTTCTCTCTCTAATTTCACATTTTCATTTTCTGAATCCAGACTTACATTGTCTACTTGGGTGACCACCCTAAAGGCATGGACTCAACATCCTTACCTTCCCTTCATATGACCATGGCACAAAAAGTTCTTGGCAGGTTGAACATTTTATAATTTATGTTCATAGTTTAATCCTGGTTTCATGATAAACTCATTTTCAGTGAAAGTCGTCTTTGGGGTAGTTCCAGCATTACCTAAGGATCTTGATTGGTAACTTTAGACTATACACATAAGTTTTGGAAATGCTTCTCAAATTTTGTCTTTATCACTGAATAAACTAACTGCAACATGAAGCCAATTTTAGTAGCTAAATATTAAGATCATAGTTCTTTGTTCCTCGTTCAAAACAAAAAGAAAAAATTAACTATCTGAAGGTACATTTATCCAGAGACTTTGAACCAAAAGCTATACTTCATAGTTACAAGAAGAGCTTTAATGGATTTGTTATCAAGTTAACGCAAGAGGAAGCGGGAAGAATGGCAGGTACTATAATATCCCTTTTAATCGCGAATGTTACCTCTATGTTTTAGGACGAAAAAACAAAAACAATGTGCTATAATACTAACTTACTGTAACAGAAATGGACAGTGTTGTCTCTGTTTTCCCAAACAAGAAGAATCATCCGCACACAACTAGATCATGGGACTTCATAGGCTTTTCACAGCAAATCCTAAGAACAAATTTAGAGAGTGATATAATTGTCGGAGTAATAGACTCGGGAGTTTGGCCAGAGTCTAAGAGCTTCAGTGACGAAGGATTTGGTCCTCCACCAACTAGATGGAAGGGATCATGCCACAACTTTACCTGTAACAAGTAAGTCTTGCCAATGATTTCACTAGTCTTATAAATAAATGCATTTTTTACTGTATCAGCAAATTGAAAAAGAAAAACGGATTCATTCTTGTTGGCACTTGTATGCAGAAAAATAATTGGAGCAAAGTATATCAATATTGAAGGTGTCTATGACAAAGACGATATCATATCTCCTAGAGATGCACAAGGCCACGGGTCACACACTGCATCCACAATTGCTGGAAATTTGGTTAAGTCTGCGAGTCTACTAGGTTTTGCCTCAGGGACAGCCCGTGGAGGAGTTCCATCAGCACGCATTGCCATATACAAAGCATGTTGGCTCAAAATAGGTTGTCCTGAGGCTGAAACCCTTGCAGCATTTGATGAAGCAATTGCTGATGGAGTTGATATAATCTCGATTTCGACCGGGTACAACAACACAGTAATCTTTCCCTATTTCCAAAGTGCGTATGATATAGGAAGTTTCCATGCAATGAAGAGAGGCATATTAACGTCAAATTCAGCCAATAATTTGGGTCCTCGATTTTCCTCTATGACCACTTACCCACCCTGGATACTCTCTGTGGCTGCTACCACTATTGACAGAAAGTTCCTCACCAAAGTGCAATTGGACAACGGCGTAGTTCTTGAGGTATCCTTATTTTAACAATACTCCATCCTTCTTGTTACTGTTTTTCTATATGAAATTATAGTGTTCAATGTTTATGAATGGCTCTGTTTTGTGTACAGGGGGTTACAATTAACACTTTTGATCTAAAAAAGAAAATGTTTCCACTGATATACGCTGGAGATGTACCCAACACTGCGGACGGATATAATAGTTCCATATCCAGGTATCAGAATATTAATCTATACGTGATTTTTCATCGTCTATTTATTTTCTTTAGAAAAAAAAATATGGATTTGAATTTTGAATTTTACTGGTCAGGTTTTGCTACGACAACTCTGTGGATAAACATTTAGTAAAGGGAAAGATCGTTCTGTGTGACAGAATTGGGTCTCCTAGCGATGTTGGGGTTTTGTCTGGGGCCGCTGGGATGCTTGTTGGAGCTACTGATGCAAAAGATGCGCCGACAACATATGCACTACCCGCAGCTTTCATTAGTCTAAGGAAATTTAACCTCGTACATTCTTACATGATTTCATCGAGGTATAGTTTCATGTGTTCTTATTTATAATTGTTTTTTTTTTCTTCTTCTGATATCACTAGCTTCAATCCTTATATAACTTGAGGTCTTTTCCAATCTCATTAAAAAAAATGGAATAACTTGTTTAAAGGAATAAAGTTCTTTTCCCATCTTTAACGTAAGTTATTTTCATTTATATATAGAGTTATTGAGCATTTTCTCTTAAAAACATTATTGAGTTCAGCTTATTCGGTATATGCTTCCCAATTTTCAGAAATTCAACTGCTACAATATTCAGGAGTGACGAAGACAATGATTCACAAACCCCTTTCATAGTTTCGTTTTCATCAAGAGGTCCAAATCCAATTACCCCAAACACTCTCAAGGTAAATATAAAATCTATGTGAAATTGTCGTCTTCAACCTGAAAATGGTGATACATATTATTTCATGATATTGTAGCCTGATCTTGCTGCACCGGGAGTTAACATTCTAGCTGCATGGTCTCCAGTGTATCCAATTTCAACATCTAGAGGTGACAAAAGAGCAGTGCAATACAACATAGACTCTGGCACTTCAATGGCTTGCCCTCATGCAGCTGCAGCGGCTGCATATGTCAAATCATTTCACCCCAATTGGTCCCCTGCTATGATCAAGTCTGCATTAATGACCACAGGTAAAGTTTGTTCTGCATCTTTAGGATATTTTTCAATATAATTTTGTTACAAAAAACGTATATCTGTTTGAAAAAAAAAGAAGTATTTCTTTACCATTTGATCTTGTTATGCTTCAAATTAAACGACAGAGTATGTATGACTCTATCTGTTACACCCCCGATTAACAGCTACACCAATGAGTCCTACTCTTAATCCTGAAGCTGAATTCGCGTATGGGGCAGGGCAAGTTAATCCTGTTAAAGCAGCAAATCCTGGTTTAGTGTACGATATTAATGAAGTAGATTATGTGAAGTTCTTGTGTGGGGAGGGTTATACAGATAAAATGCTTCGGATACTCACTAAAGATCATAGTAGATGTAGTAAACATGCAAAGGAAGAAGCTGTGTATGACCTCAATCTTCCATCATTTGCTCTGTACGTAAATGTCTCATCTTTCGGTCGTGTTTATCATAGAACGGTTACAAATGTGGGATCAGAAAGGTCTCGTTATAAAGCCAAAGTGGTATCACCATCTTTGCTGGATATTCAGGTCAAACCAAATGTTCTATCCTTCACAGAAATTGGGCAGAAGAAGTCATTCTCAGTCATAATTGAAGGGAGTATTAATGCAGATATACTCTCTGCTTCTCTGGTTTGGGATGATGGCACTTTTCAAGTTAGAACACCGATTGTATATACTGATCGAAAAGTTATTCCATGGTCTGATGAATAATATGTTTACCAAGGATCTCTAAAAAGCTTTTAGATAAACCTTCAATTGTGTCCCTCAATACTTTTTTCCATCAGGGTTTCCGATCCATTGTAACAAATTCGAATCCAAAAGCTTCAAATAACACAAGAAAACGTCCATCTACACATATTGGCTGCTTCAAAAAATTCTTAAAAGTATTCTCTTTTGGAGTAAGATATATTAGGTTGTCAACGATTAGTTTAAAATATATGTTATCAACCTTCTTTTTGTCATCATATTTGTATACCTTTGTGCTACATTCAACTAGAGTTTATAAGGATTGGAATCATTCATTTCAAAGTTGTTCAAAATTTCTCCTACATATTTCTTTCGAGTTGGAAAAATCCTATATTATAATTAAATCATTCTTATGCCCAAAAACAATACAACAAATCCATATAAGACCTTTCAAATTCATTCATTATAAACTTCTTGAATTCTCTAAAGATAATGGTATAATTTGTAGTGAGCATAATATCACTAACATATAAGTACTATTAGCATGTGTCATTTGTGCTCGTGAGAAATTTTCACAAACTCAATATGTGGAAAATAAGTTTGTGCACTGTATCAAGTCTCGGGGTCTTGCTTTGGCCCATAAAAAACTTTCTTTAATATATAAATTTATTGAAAATAATATAAGTGTAAGTTTAAGTTTTACACTAGATAAAAATAACAAAATTAAACATTATATAAAGATAGAAATTCATAAACTCATTATTTTAAGGTTTTGGATTAAAACTGATATAAATTCTTTATATAGATTGAATATTTATATGATTTCTTTCTATTGAATAATTTTAAAAAATATACCTATAAGTAGTATCAAAATTGATGGTTCATCTTAACAAATAGTTTAGACAGTTGTAACAACAATAATTACACCACAATCCCAAAACAGAATTAAAAAAAATTATTGTACACTTAAAAAAAATGTATTCGTAAGAAAATAATTCACTTTTGAAGAGAGATAGTTGAAAATAATACAAATATGAATCTAAGTATCACAATAAATAGAAATAATAGAGTTAAATACTATATAAAAGAAATTCATAATTCCATTATCTTAAAATTTTAAATTAAAATTGGTCCTATATCTTGTGTAAATTGAGTTTATATCATATTTATATAATATCTTTCTAATAAATACCCTGAAACATACTCTCATCAAAACCTTATTTTCATGTTCAGTTTTAACATATCCATAAGGTTGATAAATAAATACTCGTTTGGGGGATTTTAATTTGATTCACGAGAATAATTGTGTTGATATTAGTATAGGGTGAAGATCAACTACGAGTGTTATGGTCTGTCCTAATTAATGTTGTGGGAATAACTTAAAAACAGGAGAGGAACATATATCCTACAAATTTAGTATTCCTTTCTCTTTTTGTCCCAATTATCTGTTCAAATATATTAGACTTCATAAAAATCGAGTCTAACGTGTAAGGTTTAATTTAACATTCATGATAACTTATTTTTAAAAATAGTATTTTTGTAGCAAACCTTTAAATAAGACATAAATTTATATTTCAATACAATTATAAGTTTAAGTTCTACTCTGTATATAAATTAACATACTTAAAATTTAAATAATTATAATAATTTAAATATTTTAGTGTACTGTAATAAATTTAATACATACTACTATTAATAATAATAATAATAATAATAATAATAATACTTATATGTTTTAAAAAAATTGGTCTTTGATATCTAAAATAAATTTTTCAACAAACTAAAGTCTAAATTTTAAAAAAAAAGTTTGAACTGGTTATATGTTTTTTAAAGTAATGTGGGTGTACTCAAGTTCTTTCAGTAAAAGCATTTTAAACCTAGATAAGGACACTTTGCCAGAAGTCGAATCCGGGTCGTCCACGTGTCAGAAATACAAACTCTTCACGGAACAATTCAACGAATACAATGTTGCTTGAACAATTCTGGAATAAATTATATTTTTATTAAAGTTTAAAATTCTTCTGTTTTAAAAGAAATAGTATGTTCATCATCAAATTGAAATTGTTTTCTCCATTTCGACATATATTTATAAGATGAGTATATGCAGAAAAAACAAAAACAGCAAGAGGTAAAAATGGCGATACAGTGCGTCAAAAAAAAATTATATAGCATGTATAAATTACGTCCGTTATTCAAATCATAGAATACCTTCGAAAAATCAGTATAAAAGACAATAATTTGCTTGAAAGAAAACTGTTAAGTTTCTAAAAATGAATATTTTACGAAATATTGAACACCAAATTAATAAAAATTGGACTGATAAAAACAAATTGGGATGAAAAATTCAGGCATGATCTCAGATGGGAAAAAAACCATGTCCTCTAAATACATTAGATAAATGATCTACACTAAATACAATCTTCTAATCGATACAATTGGTCCTGAACTTACCCTTGTCAGATTTCAGCTGAAGACTGCAAATAATAATCCCAACAACTTCACACTTCTATTCTCAACTAACAACACAACAAACAACAGATGCTACCAATAAATGATACAAGGATATGGTTGTTTTACTGTAAAGCCCCACCAGTCATTTTGTCTTGCCATTCATGGCATGTGGCTTCTTGTGATGTTCTGCCTGTTCTCTTTTATTGCAGCTTGGGTTAGAACCATTCACCACAACAGTTGAACTGCTAAAATTCTTTGTTTCTTTTGATTCTGCACCAAGATAATTCGACAATACTCTTCTCACCCCAAAGCCACGACGTTGAGGTTTGATGTTGTTGTTGTTGTTATTGTTGATGTTGTTGTTGAGGAAAGGAGATCTCTCTCCCCTTGCAGGACTAATGAGTGATGGAGCAGGTGAAAAGCTTGGTGTTCCAACTGCTTTGTGAGGAGTGCCTGAGACAGACACTGTCATTGGAACCAACGGAAACCTATCTGAATGTTTAGTCAAGTCATCCACATATAGCAAATCGTCTATGCGAGCTACAATGTTAAATGCCATGCTCTCCAAAACTCTTGAATAGCTCTCAAGTATGGATTTTCCAACATCCTGAATGTTTTAAACGAAATAAGATGTGTTAATGTGAAAGGGTTTGAGAGCAAAGATTGCAAAAACTAGATGAAAATAAGGAAATAGAAGCATGGAACCTTGTTGCACTGGATCTTGCTGGTATCCAAGGTAGTTTGAGTTAGACCAGGATACTTCTGCTTCAATGAAAGTAGAACATNTAAAGGTTCCAGGTATGAGTTCTGGACAGATTGCTTACAATGCAATATACATATGCATTACAGACCACTTGGTCATGTTACTGACTTAAGCGTCGGGGTGCCTTTGACAGATACACGATCAGGACTTGAAGACGAGAGCCCGTTCGGCCCTTCCCAGCGCGTCCAGCCCTCAGCCAAGAGCTTGTGAGAAGACGTCCGTCACCAAGCGTCCGTCCGATCCGTTGCATGCGATATCATCCATCCGCCAGTCTTCATCCTTTGTGAGTGTTTTAATAGGGTCCTACCAGATCCGGTCGAAACACATTTAATACTTATACTTATTCTATACAAAGAAAGATATAACTTAGAATCACGCAGAATTAGTAATTCTTCCTATTGCACAGTATAGTAGATTAATTAGGAAGAATAAGTATAAAATTTAAAAGGTTAACAGTTGTATAAAATAAAGAAGACTCATGAGTCACTTACGAGAGTTTATAGCCATTGTTGATTGCTCCTGTGCAACGATTTTGAAAGCCGCAGGCAAAGTTCACTATCCTCCACCATAAATAATCTTTGCTCGAACCGCCATGAACACATTCATCAACTCCTCAAAAAATTCTAAGCTTCTCACCTTGATCTTCTGTGAGAACATGATTTCTCTAAGGCTTAGCCTTCTTTTAACACTCATCTTCAGTCTGATAATTAAGCAGACATATTCCAACAAAGATAGGAAGGCAAATATATACACGCATTCTTTCGTTATATACTTTTTCACTTGTGCTTTTTAGCTTTTCAATTACTATATATGGCTACCAAAACGACTATGGCGCTCAAAAGTTTCTCTCTCTAATTTCACATTTTCATTTTCTGAATCCAGACTTACATTGTCTACTTGGGTGACCACCCTAAAGGCATGGACTCAACATCCTTACCTTCCCTTCATATGACCATGGCACAAAAAGTTCTTGGCAGGTTGAACATTTTATAATTTATGTTCATAGTTTAATCCTGGTTTCATGATAAACTCATTTTCAGTGAAAATCGTCTTTGGGGTAGTTCCAGCATTACCTAAGGATCTTGATTGGTAACTTTAGACTATACACATAAGTTTTGGAAATGCTTCTCAAATTTTGTCTTTATCACTGAATAAACTAACTGCAACATGAAGCCAATTTTAGTAGCTAAATATTAAGATCATAGTTCTTTGTTCCTCGTTCAAAACAAAAAGAAAAAATTAACTATCTGAAGGTACATTTATCCAGAGACTTTGAACCAAAAGCTATACTTCATAGTTACAAGAAGAGCTTTAATGGATTTGTTATCAAGTTAACGCAAGAGGAAGCGGGAAGAATGGCAGGTACTATAATATCCCTTTTAATCGCGAATGTTACCTCTATGTTTTAGGACGAAAAAACAAAAACAATGTGCTATAATACTAACTTACTGTAACAGAAATGGACAGTGTTGTCTCTGTTTTCCCAAACAAGAAGAATCATCCGCACACAACTAGATCATGGGACTTCATAGGCTTTTCACAGCAAATCCTAAGAACAAATTTAGAGAGTGATATAATTGTCGGAGTAATAGACTCGGGAGTTTGGCCAGAGTCTAAGAGCTTCAGTGACGAAGGATTTGGTCCTCCACCAACTAGATGGAAGGGATCATGCCACAACTTTACCTGTAACAAGTAAGTCTTGCCAATGATTTCACTAGTCTTATAAATAAATGCATTTTTTACTGTATCAGCAAATTGAAAAAGAAAAACGGATTCATTCTTGTTGGCACTTGTATGCAGAAAAATAATTGGAGCAAAGTATATCAATATTGAAGGTGTCTATGACAAAGACGATATCATATCTCCTAGAGATGCACAAGGCCACGGGTCACACACTGCATCCACAATTGCTGGAAATTTGGTTAAGTCTGCGAGTCTACTAGGTTTTGCCTCAGGGACAGCCCGTGGAGGAGTTCCATCAGCACGCATTGCCATATACAAAGCATGTTGGCTCAAAATAGGTTGTCCTGAGGCTGAAACCCTTGCAGCATTTGATGAAGCAATTGCTGATGGAGTTGATATAATCTCGATTTCGACCGGGTACAACAACACAGTAATCTTTCCCTATTTCCAAAGTGCGTATGATATAGGAAGTTTCCATGCAATGAAGAGAGGCATATTAACGTCAAATTCAGCCAATAATTTGGGTCCTCGATTTTCCTCTATGACCACTTACCCACCCTGGATACTCTCTGTGGCTGCTACCACTATTGACAGAAAGTTCCTCACCAAAGTGCAATTGGACAACGGCGTAGTTCTTGAGGTATCCTTATTTTAACAATACTCCATCCTTCTTGTTACTGTTTTTCTATATGAAATTATAGTGTTCAATGTTTATGAATGGCTCTGTTTTGTGTACAGGGGGTTACAATTAACACTTTTGATCTAAAAAAGAAAATGTTTCCACTGATATACGCTGGAGATGTACCCAACACTGCGGACGGATATAATAGTTCCATATCCAGGTATCAGAATATTAATCTATACGTGATTTTTCATCGTCTATTTATTTTCTTTAGAAAAAAAAATATGGATTTGAATTTTGAATTTTACTGGTCAGGTTTTGCTACGACAACTCTGTGGATAAACATTTAGTAAAGGGAAAGATCGTTCTGTGTGACAGAATTGGGTCTCCTAGCGATGTTGGGGTTTTGTCTGGGGCCGCTGGGATGCTTGTTGGAGCTACTGATGCAAAAGATGCGCCGACAACATATGCACTACCCGCAGCTTTCATTAGTCTAAGGAAATTTAACCTCGTACATTCTTACATGATTTCATCGAGGTATAGTTTCATGTGTTCTTATTTATAATTGTTTTTTTTTTCTTCTTCTGATATCACTAGCTTCAATCCTTATATAACTTGAGGTCTTTTCCAATCTCATTAAAAAAAATGGAATAACTTGTTTAAAGGAATAAAGTTCTTTTCCCATCTTTAACGTAAGTTATTTTCATTTATATATAGAGTTATTGAGCATTTTCTCTTAAAAACATTATTGAGTTCAGCTTATTCGGTATATGCTTCCCAATTTTCAGAAATTCAACTGCTACAATATTCAGGAGTGACGAAGACAATGATTCACAAACCCCTTTCATAGTTTCGTTTTCATCAAGAGGTCCAAATCCAATTACCCCAAACACTCTCAAGGTAAATATAAAATCTATGTGAAATTGTCGTCTTCAACCTGAAAATGGTGATACATATTATTTCATGATATTGTAGCCTGATCTTGCTGCACCGGGAGTTAACATTCTAGCTGCATGGTCTCCAGTGTATCCAATTTCAACATCTAGAGGTGACAAAAGAGCAGTGCAATACAACATAGACTCTGGCACTTCAATGGCTTGCCCTCATGCAGCTGCAGCGGCTGCATATGTCAAATCATTTCACCCCAATTGGTCCCCTGCTATGATCAAGTCTGCATTAATGACCACAGGTAAAGTTTGTTCTGCATCTTTAGGATATTTTTCAATATAATTTTGTTACAAAAAACGTATATCTGTTTGAAAAAAAAAGAAGTATTTCTTTACCATTTGATCTTGTTATGCTTCAAATTAAACGACAGAGTATGTATGACTCTATCTGTTACACCCCCGATTAACAGCTACACCAATGAGTCCTACTCTTAATCCTGAAGCTGAATTCGCGTATGGGGCAGGGCAAGTTAATCCTGTTAAAGCAGCAAATCCTGGTTTAGTGTACGATATTAATGAAGTAGATTATGTGAAGTTCTTGTGTGGGGAGGGTTATACAGATAAAATGCTTCGGATACTCACTAAAGATCATAGTAGATGTAGTAAACATGCAAAGGAAGAAGCTGTGTATGACCTCAATCTTCCATCATTTGCTCTGTACGTAAATGTCTCATCTTTCGGTCGTGTTTATCATAGAACGGTTACAAATGTGGGATCAGAAAGGTCTCGTTATAAAGCCAAAGTGGTATCACCATCTTTGCTGGATATTCAGGTCAAACCAAATGTTCTATCCTTCACAGAAATTGGGCAGAAGAAGTCATTCTCAGTCATAATTGAAGGGAGTATTAATGCAGATATACTCTCTGCTTCTCTGGTTTGGGATGATGGCACTTTTCAAGTTAGAACACCGATTGTATATACTGATCGAAAAGTTATTCCATGGTCTGATGAATAATATGTTTACCAAGGATCTCTAAAAAGCTTTTAGATAAACCTTCAATTGTGTCCCTCAATACTTTTTTCCATCAGGGTTTCCGATCCATTGTAACAAATTCGAATCCAAAAGCTTCAAATAACACAAGAAAACGTCCATCTACACATATTGGCTGCTTCAAAAAATTCTTAAAAGTATTCTCTTTTGGAGTAAGATATATTAGGTTGTCAACGATTAGTTTAAAATATATGTTATCAACCTTCTTTTTGTCATCATATTTGTATACCTTTGTGCTACATTCAACTAGAGTTTATAAGGATTGGAATCATTCATTTCAAAGTTGTTCAAAATTTCTCCTACATATTTCTTTCGAGTTGGAAAAATCCTATATTATAATTAAATCATTCTTATGCCCAAAAACAATACAACAAATCCATATAAGACCTTTCAAATTCATTCATTATAAACTTCTTGAATTCTCTAAAGATAATGGTATAATTTGTAGTGAGCATAATATCACTAACATATAAGTACTATTAGCATGTGTCATTTGTGCTCGTGAGAAATTTTCACAAACTCAATATGTGGAAAATAAGTTTGTGCACTGTATCAAGTCTCGGGGTCTTGCTTTGGCCCATAAAAAACTTTCTTTAATATATAAATTTATTGAAAATAATATAAGTGTAAGTTTAAGTTTTACACTAGATAAAAATAACAAAATTAAACATTATATAAAGATAGAAATTCATAAACTCATTATTTTAAGGTTTTGGATTAAAACTGATATAAATTCTTTATATAGATTGAATATTTATATGATTTCTTTCTATTGAATAATTTTAAAAAATATACCTATAAGTAGTATCAAAATTGATGGTTCATCTTAACAAATAGTTTAGACAGTTGTAACAACAATAATTACACCACAATCCCAAAACAGAATTAAAAAAAATTATTGTACACTTAAAAAAAATGTATTCGTAAGAAAATAATTCACTTTTGAAGAGAGATAGTTGAAAATAATACAAATATGAATCTAAGTATCACAATAAATAGAAATAATA